GCATACACTCATGTAAAGGGAATGTGTGGTGGTATTATGTTCCCCAATATATTGTGCATCCCAATAAAATTATCTGGGGTCAGGGAACAAAACAGCCACTAGACATAGAGGCTAGAAAATGGTGGCATACACACCTTTAATCCTAGCATTCTGGAGGCAGAGATCCATCTGGATCTCTGTGAGTTCAAAGACACACTGGAAAAAGCCAGGCAAGGTGACACATGCCTTTAATGCCAGAAAATGATGGCAGGAAGCAGAAAGGTATACAAGGCATGAAAATCAGGAACTAGAGTTGTTTAAGCTCTTAGGCTTTTGAGCAGCAGGTCAGCTGAGATCCATTTGGATGAAGATTCAGAGGCTTCCAGTCTGAGGAAACAGGATCACCTGAGGAATTAGCAAGGTGAGGTGCCTATGGCTTGTTCTGTTTCTCTGATCTTTCAGCATTCACCCCAATACCTGGGTTCGGGTTTGTTTTTATTAATGAGATCTTTTAAGATTCATGTTACATCTGGCACCCAATGTTCGTGGTACAAATTCATAAAAAAGCTGCTTGTCTGTGGCCTTGCAGGACCCAGCTCAGGCCTGAGCTACACTCGGCCACTTGTGGTGGTGCATGCCCATAGGATTTACTGAAGGAGCCAGAGGCAGGAGGATCCCGAGGCAGGAGGTGGTAGGACCATGGAGGCAGAGGCTGTTGCTCTGAGTCACCTGCTTCTCATCCTGTTGGTGACTGCAATGATGCTGCTACCTGGGATGAAGTGTTTACTGCTGCTTGTTCAGAGAAGAATTGCCTGGACCATCATGTTACAAGAAAGCATTGCCAAAGGTCAGTTTTGAAAAGTTTGGCAAGACAAATGGTGGGGAGAAATTGCTGTGAAGATTTTCTCTTCTAGGGAAGAATGTTCATGGTTCCAAGAGACAGACATTTATCAGACTGTGATTGCTCCAAACTACAGAGGAGGCAAAAAAAAAAAAAATAATAATCTGCAGGAAACATGACCATGCCTAACGGCAATTTTGAAATCTTCAAAAGGATGACAGGATCCCACAACAATGATTCTCAAGGACTATGGTAAAACCATTAAGCTGATTAACACCACAGAAAGATTGGCTTTGGACTACAAACTGCTCAGGACAGTTTCCAGATGGCTAGCTGATATGATCCAGATTCACAGACAACTTGAGCAAGGACTTGAGACAAACCCTACATTTTCCCATTATGCAGAGACTGGACAACAAATGATACAGCTACCTCTCCCAGGACTTGACAATTAACCCCAACATTTTCTTTTCAGGATCCCCTAAAGATGTGTTTGCCCCCAGAAAGCAGGAAGTAATTTTAAGAACACGACGCCCACATTCCCAAGAGGTGGGGTGGGTGTTTTTTGGTCGTTCAATGGCTTATGGATAATTGCTATTGTTTATGATGGTTGATTACAAGTTGTTAATTGTTAATGGTCAAAAAAAAAAGCTAAACAAAGGAGATTAGATACAGAGTTCTTGTTTAAAAGAAAAAGAAAAAGAAAAAGGAAAAAGAAGATATAGGAAAGGGTAGATCATTGAATCTACTCTGAAAAAAGGGAAAATATAGAAATGATAAGATAAAAGGTAGATTTTTGTATCTACTAAAAAAAGAATATGGATAATATGATAAAATAAAAAGGGAGATTATCGAATCTACTTTTAAAAAGTAACTAATTGTTTTAAATAGGATAATTAATGAAAATTTTTTATCTGAATTTGTCAAATGTTAATGGACTGGACATTGTTATATATTAATGGAGATTTTTGTCTGAATCTGTCAAATGTTAATGGACTAGACATTTGTTAATGTAATTCTTGACTCTATATGTTCTATATACTTATTGGATATAGTTTTTCTTGTATTAGTTATAAGCTTTTTAAAATTTTAGACAACAAAGGGGAAATGTGGTGATATTGTGTTCCCCAATATATTGTGCACTCTAATAAACTAATCTGGGGTCAGAGAACAGAACAGCTACTAGACATAGAGTCCAGAAAACAGTAGATAGCCAAATAGTAGAAAAAATTTTACAGAGAAACAGAAAAAGCTTTCATGAGCAGGACTCTGCCTAGGCAAATGTTCACCATCCTTGCTTACAGACAGGTAAGGATGAGAAGACTTCACCTGGTGTGGAGTGGAGGAAGATAAATCTGATTAGATATGATTGGTGATCAGATATCAATAATTGTAGATGAATTTCTAAGTGGTCTTATTAAATAAAGAACATGGAGCCAAATATAGGGGTGAAAGCCTTATCGATCAGGGAAATAGTGAGAGCCACCAACCACCTTACCTCACCAGCTCTGTAGCTTCTAAAATGCCACAACTTCCTGTCTACCCAGGCTTTTATTGCCTTGCTATTCGGCCCTCTCATTGACTCTTAGCCCAGCTACCTCACTTCCTTGTTATTGCCTGTCTGTACATACCTCCAGGTCTCTATGGTTGGGACTGGGATTAAAGGCATGTGTCATCATGCTTGGCTCTGTTCCCTAGTGTGACCTTGAACACACAGAGATTGGATTAAGGGTGTGTGCTACCACTGCCTGACTTTTGTGTTAACTTAAAATGGCTTGCTATTTCCTCTGATCTCCAGGCAAACTTTATTTATTAATATACAAATAAAATATCACCTCAACTAATGATTGTGATGACCTGAGTTATCAGGATTGTTGCTGGAAATGGAATGACTCAAAGACATGCACATTGTTAGAAGACTTAAAGTTCTGAATCAAGCAATACAGGCATTACTCAACAGACATTGAATAACAGGTATTTTGAAGACTTATGGCTTTAATATTGTATTACTCATTCTAACATAAATATCCTTCAGTGTTTCCCACTTTTAGACATTTCTTGATTAAGTTTAGATTTATGAATGTTGGACAGTGTAGGCTGTAGGGTTGACATGTATCATATCTGTCAGCCTGGATCCGAGGAAACAAACAAATTCAGCAATCAGTAGACAAACCAAATGTTGGCCTTGAGCATCACCCACCTTTAAGCTTCTTGTGAGAACCAGTTGTGTTCCACCTTGACATAGGGCAACAGCATCCCAGGGTCTGTATTCTCACAGGATCCCACTGTAGCTGTGGACTAATCATGAAATACTAGACTAGAACATACTCAGTACATTCCATGGATAGTAACCAAAACCTCTCACTCCACTCTAAAGTAACTATTTGTACAGGATAGTTTTATGTCAACTTGACACAAGCTAGAGTCATCATAGAGGAAGGAGCCTAAATTGAGAAAATGCCTCCAAATGATTGGGCTGTAGGTAAGCCTGTAGTTCATTTTCTTAATTAGCGATTTATTAGGAAGTGCCAAGCCCATTATGCCTGGTGACGTGCCTGGGGTGGTGATCCTGAATTCTATAAGAAAGCAGCAAGTCATGATGAGCAAGCCAATAAACAGAATCCCTCCATGACTTGTGTATCAGTTTCTGCCTCCAGGTCTCTGCTCTGCTTGAGTTCCTGTGCTGACTTCCTCTGATGATGAACCCTGAGGTGGAAGTGTATATAAATCCTTTCCTCCTCAAGTTTCTTTTGTCATGATGTTTCATCACAGCAACAGTAACACAAAGACACTGTTAGGCTGAAATTATGAACAGCTTTACAAGGAAACCCTTTTTCTTGAACAACTCACGAACAAAAAGCATCAAGTATTACATGATCCAAGGAGGAAAAGCTGGTTCTTTGCCTTCCTCTTATAAGGTTCAAAGGTTCATCTCCACATAGTCTATTGAGGCAACCCACACCCACCCCTTCAGGACAGGTGGGATCAGATCTCAGCATGTGTCCCAGAGCCTGAAGGCCTAATCCAGTCACCAGCACAGCCAATCAGAAGAATAGCAAGACTGAGTTCCTGGCCAGAAACTTTGTATTTAAGGCCCAAGTGAAGTACAGCGGGGCCAGATTCTGGGACCTCAGCCATGTCTTAAGAATTGAATCTGTGGAGTGCATCAATGCATCACAATTCTTCCTGGTAAGACCCTATCTCCTCTAAGACAGAATGGGAAGTGACACTGGATAAGAGAACTCTTTTGGGGAATCAGACGGAGTCTCCAGGAATGAGATTATCTTCTCAAAATGTGTAGCCATACTGTGTGGACCCAGATGGGTCAACTTGTCATTGGTTCCCATAAAGTACAAGTCTGGGTCTTTATACAGAGTAATTTAGCTGGTCCTTGTGCTTCAGGTATCATTTCCTTCTCCTCCTGCACCAATAGGGCTCATCCTCTTGTTCATTGCCACTGGGAAAAATACAGTATTCTTCATTGACATGTTCAGAAGTATTAGTAGATTACATGGCCCTCATTCAGTCTTATAGTGAGTGCTGTTTAAGAAACACATTAAGTCATGACTTGAATCCTGGGAGTGACGATCCCTTTTCCATTCAACCCTTTTCTCACTGAAGTAGTCAGTGGGGTGTATAATCACAAAGGTAGAACCAAGGGATTTATATCTCATATTTTCAAAGGAGAACAGTTCAGAAAATTTTCATTCAAGAGGGGAGTTTTCATGACAAGCTCATATAATGACTAGATAGGGATATGAATGTTGTTTGGCTACAACTCTTGTGATTATCTTATGGTTAGCATCAGATGCCATATAAGACAAGCTTTGCTTCATACAAATCCATGTCCTAAGTCACCAATTGTGTAACTTTTCAATTTTGAGGTGCATGGACATCCTTCTAGAAATGAAAGTTTGCAAGACACAGACTGTTTCTATTTCTAGAATTCTGGACACATGCTTTGCATTTTGGTGGAGCAACTAAATACTATCCCTAGCATCTTTACCCAAAATACATATTTATCCACTTCCAAAGTCTGTGGATAAATATTTGAAAAAGTACTTCCAGTAATTTTATCCACCACAGATGTCTTATTTCTCAGGAAGGAGTAAGAGGCATTTTAGAAGTGTCGCTGTAATCCTATCTCCATTTTTCCTCCTCACCCTCCAGGTCTTGAGAGATGACTCTTTTTGTCCTCCTGGCCATTCTGTGTTTGGGAGTAGCCACAGCTGCTCCATCATCTGATATCAGTTTGGATTCTGAATGGCAGGAGTGGAAGACAAAATATGGAAAAAACTACAGCCTGGTTAGTAATATGAAAACTGTCCCACAGTTGTTGTTGGGTCTATGGGTGCAACAGAGGTCATAGAGACCACCTCTTATTCAGGAATTGACCAAAGCCATCCACTGAGAGAACAGGGGGCCAGGATCTCTGTTCCTAGGTGTGTGGCCAATGACTTCTGATGCAGGGTCCTGAGATCTGTCTTATGATCTGTATTCACCTCTAGCAGTGAGTCCCCTTGATCAGCTTGTGTAGGGGTTTGATTAGAAAGAAATGTCATCCATTATGTTCATTTCCAGGAGGAAGAAAGACAGAAGAGAACAGTATGGGAAGAAAACATGAAACTGGTCAAACAGCACAATATGGAATATAGCCAAGGGAAGAATGGCTTCACCATGGAAATGAATGCCTTTGGTGACATGGTGAGTGTGATAGGCATTGCTTCACATGGTGGGTTTTCTGTTTGTTTGGTTTGGTTTTTTTCAGTTCTTTATGTGAAGACTTGCTTTTTAATGATTTATGTTCTTTTCCTTGAAGACTGGTGAAGAATTCAGGAAAATGATGACTGATATTCCAGTCCAGACTCTTAGGAAAAGGAAAAGTATCCAGCAACGTATGGTCAGTTATGTACCCAAATTTGTAGATTGGAGTAGGAGAGGCTATGTGACTCCTGTGAAGAGACAGGTACGACAGCATCACATGATTGTCTTAACTACGGGGGAGACAAAGAGAACTGACATCTCTGTATGTTGAGTGTGGAGCGACACATAATTCACTTTTAATAATATATATATTTTATTTTTAGAACGTTTCATATGTTTGTACAATGCAAATTGATCATATCCATCCACCATTACCTCTTTCTACCTAGAGACCTCCTGCCAATCAGTCTCCAGGCTTCATGTCCTATTTATTGTTAGTAATAGCAATCAGACAACATTATGTCATGTCCATATGTTAATCTACACACATGTGCAAGTGTGTGTGACAATTCAGTGGGGCCCAGGAAAACTGCCAGCAGTCAGGTCCCCAAGAAGAATGAAAATCCCTCCCTTGTCAACAATCATCTGCTAATAGTTCATTTGTTGACACAGTATTCAGCTGTCTGATTTCGAGATATTATTTGTTTGTGAATGACTGTCTTTTCTTTTCTGCTTAGGGTATATGTAATTCTTGTTGGGCTTTTTCTGTGGCTGGTGCCATAGAAGGACAGATGTTCCGAAAAACAGGCAGACTGGTCTCACTGAGTCCACAGAACCTTGTGGATTGCTCTAGACCTGAAGGCAATCTGGGATGTTATGAAGGGAATACTTACTATGCTTTAAAGTATGTAAAGCATAATGGAGGTCTGGAGGCTGAGGCAACCTATCCATATGAGGCAAAAGTAAGTGGATTTTTTTTTTTTGGTTTTTGAGACAGGGTTTCTCCATGTAGTTTTGGTGCCTGTCCTGGATCTTGCTCTGTAGAATAGGCTGGCCTCAAACTCACAGAGATACTTCTGGCTCTGCTTCCCAAGTGGTGGGATTAAAGGCATGTGCCACCACTGCCCAGCTGTAAGTGGATCTTTTATGCTAGTGTTGTTTTAGCCAGCTTCAGGCAAGGGGTAATTACAGGATAATTCACTGTGTTCAGAACTCACATTGGAAGGTTGAATCACTGCACACCATCAGTGGTCTCATTAGAGTATCAGTCTTTGCACATGTTTCTAATGTGATGGTTTCCATGTAGCTGTTGATGCTCCTATGTACACAGAGAATATACAAACCATTCCACATATAATGGAGATTTCTCCCTGTGAATATTTTGTACAGACTTAAAGACCTATGCGGTGTCATGGAAGACATGAGAGTTGATTTTCAGTTCCAAATCTCCAGTAACATTTCACTTCCTGGGATGATTTATAACAATCCAGACATGGGGATGCTCAACTGCAAAGTGCAGGGTTGTGGTTCTGATGGATGCTCCCCAGGAGGTGGGTGGAAGTAACTGAGCCTCTTATCTCTTTATCTTTTAAAGGAAGGACGCTGCAGGTACCGTCCTGAACATTCTGCTGCTAGAGTCACAGACTTTGTGTTTGTCTCAAAGAATGAGGAAGCCTTAATGCATGCTGTAGCAACTATAGGGCCCATCTCTGTTGGAATTGATGCTAGACATGAATCTTTCAAGTTGTATAGGGGAGGTAAGCAAGTGCTCCTTGGTGTTTCTCAACCTTTGAGTCTCAACCATTTTGGGGGGAGAACAGACCTTTTCCAAGGGGTCACATATCAGATATCTTGCATATCAGATATTTAGATTATGACTCATAATAGTAGCAAAATTACAGTTAATAAGCAGCAATGAAAATAATTTTATGGTTGGGGAGTCAGCACAACAGGGTGAAATGTATTAAAGGGTCGCGGCATTAGGAAGGTTGAGAACCACTGTTCTAGATATTAATGAGGAATGATTGTGAAACTCCTGCTAGGTGTAGAGAGGAGTTTTCTATGTATAACATTTGATCTTAATAATTAGATCATCAGATTTACATCTATTGTTATGCAATAATCAGGTGTGTGGTTTCCATTCAACATGTCATTCCTATGCCTGTGAGCACTTCATAATTTATAATTATTAAGCTTAATTAATCAACTTTTCTCTACTTAGTGTACCTTAAGATACTGAGAGATTGTCTTTTTAGAAATGAATTCTAAAGAATGTCTTGAATTAAGCACTTTATGTTCATTCTTGGAATGGTGTCCTATTAGTGAAAACCCAAGGTGAGAAGACATCATACGCATGTAGGAAAACATTTATTCATAAAATTATGCTCATTTGTATTTCTTTGGCATTTGATGAGAACCTGCCTCAGGATTCCTGTTAACAATGGGTCCTATTTCTGCTGGACTTTTTTTTCCCAATTAGAAAATGCCTTACTTACTGTTTTTGGCCATGGTCACTATTAAATTGCTGGGGCCTCTCACTCCTTTGATTTTATTTTTCAGGTATTTATTATGAGCCAAATTGCAAGAATGATGTCATCAATCACTCTGTTCTGTTAGTTGGGTATGGCTATGAAGGAAGAGAATCAGATGGCAGGAAATATTGGCTGATAAAGAACAGGTATAAATTGCAAATACTATTTATATTTAAATTTCCAAATGGACTTTCTGTTTGGAGTCAGAATCTGGATAAGAGTTATTTTATTTTGATCAATTGTATATGTGTATGCAGTATGCCTATTTGCATGTGTGTGAGCCAATGCTGATATCAGTTGTTTTCCTTAGCTGTTCTCCTTTGAGGCAGCAGATCTCACTGATCTTAGAGTTTACTGTTTTGTGTAGTTGCTCAGCAAGCCCGCTGTAGGTATGTCTTCACTTACAGTATTTCAGGCAAGCTTCAGTGACTCCTGGTTTTAAAGAAATTATTATTTTCACTCATGTGAGGGTGTTTGTGTGAGTTTATTCTACATGTGAGCAGGTGCCCAGGGAGACCTGAAGAGGACATCAGATTTCCCCAAACTGTAGTTACAACAGGCTGTGAGCCGATTGATTTGGTTGCTGGGAAAAGAACAAAGGCTCTGTAGAAAAGCCCCATGCTCGTAGGCATGGATCCTTCTCCAGCCCCCATCCTTACTTTTAGTGGGATCCTGGACTTGAACTGCAGTTCTTTCTAGTTTATGGCCAGCACTTGACCCTTTGAACTTTCTCTATGGCTGGAACAACCAGCTCATGATGTGTGATCACAATGTTCAGATTCAGCTACCAGTTTCCTTGGGTGCTAATATCGTACTGGTGTTATTGATTTTTCTAAAAGCTAGCATATTTGTTAGTTCTGTGCCACGTGTGGATGGAAAGATGCCCTGCTTTTTCACTGCTATGACTTTTACAGTCCTATCTGAGACAAGTCTTGGTTCTTGGAAGTTGACATTCTGCATTTTCTGATCATTTTGTTAAGTTGGCTTCTGGCTCAGTGTTTACATGAGGAGTTATTGTAATGAATCCACTGTCCTGTGTTCTTTCTAACTAAATGGGAAACATGGTTTCTTTCAGTCATGGTGAAAGATGGGGCATGAATGGCTACATGAAGATTGCCAGAGACAGGAACAACCACTGTGGAATTGCTACATATGCCATCTACCCCAGAGTGTAAGCTGCCTGAAGGGAGCAAGGAAGGATTAGACTGGGGATAGCCTGTAAAGGTGAAACACTTCCCCTTTAACATGAATAATCTCTGCTGCATGGATACAACACTTGAGTCACTGAAGAACACATTGTGATGTGAATTCTGTGGTGTGTTTATTCCAGTAAGGCATGACAGCTACTGTAACTGAAGCTCTGCACTGATTTGTATCTGGTTCCTGTAGTAACCTGATTTTAATTTTTTAAGGACTGTGCCAAATGATGTCTTTAAAAAGATTTAATCAAACGTAGTGTCTGTCTTCTTATAGTTTTGATTGTGGTGATTTTTTAAAATTTAAGTAATTAATTTTACTTTATTTAATACATGTTTTAGTTAAAAAATTATATTACTCCTCCCTTTTCCTTCCTTCCTCCAACCCCTCCCATGACTCCTTCCTCTTACTCCTCACAAATCTCTCCTCATTTCTTCTCAAATTGATGGATATATAATAAACCTCATGAATCTAATTTTGTTGTTTATGTGCACAAGACTTCAGAACTGGTCACTTTGCATTGTAGTTGATTAGGGGTTTGTTCCTGGGAGAGCTCATTCTCCTTCTCTTAACATTCACAACTCCTGCATTTAATGCATAGGGGACATTGTGGAAGAGAGGGCAGAAAGACTAAAAGACAGGGGATCATGAAGTCTGTGATGAGACTCTGTCTCCTAGAAATGGCTGCTGGTACGATACATGAACAATAACATTATCAGTAGACATACTAACTCAGAAGGAGGACCATCTCAAGATTCTCACTCTAAGGCAAAGGACTACAGATTATTAATTCAGTGACTTTTTTGTATTCAAACAAGTAATACAGCATGAAATCATATGTTTTTGTGATGTTGGTGTTCTGGAAGAAAGAGTAGATGGCTCTTTTGTTATAGTCAATATTCTATCTTTGTGTGTGTGTGTGTGTGTGTGTGTGTGTGTGTGTGTGTGTGTGTTTTACAAAATTTTGTGTATCCACTATTCAATCTTGAGTTCTGAAACATGTATGAACATTTCTCGCATGAAAGTTTTAACTCATATGCACTCACCCAGTTTCAATTGTTTTCCACTCCATGTAATAAGATGACAATGTGTGCTACTTCACTGCATTGTACTGGCTTATGAATCTCCCTTGTCTCTTACCTCAATCCTATATCCTACCTTTCCTGTGACTGTGTTGAAGACATTGGGGTTATTGGATTTTCAGTTACATGGATTTCATTCAAGTGACATTTTCAGAGGCCTCAGTGCCTCAACATGCAAGAGTAATGAAACATGTTTTTTTTAATACAACCTTCTGAATCACTGTTCTAGTGTGTTATTAGTTTCTATTGTTAATGTTTGAGCTTATCTATTTGATGTACTGAACTTTGCCATAGGCATATATGTATGAAACACACACACACACACACACACACACACACACACACACACATTCATATATGTCTATAGTAGTACACACACAAATATACATACATAGTTTAGTACCAACATTATATTCAAGTTCTTAGCATAGATGTTAGAATGTGTCCTGAGTGTATAATAGATGATGAGCATAGTGCTATTTTGGCTTTCCAGTGGTTTGGCTTTGGAGACTAATGAGTTTCTAGAGACCTTAACCACACGGGGAGTATATAGAGATATGTCAGGAAAATGGTTCTTTCAATATCTAGATTGATGTTGTCAGATCAAAGTGTTATTGTACTATTGGGTTTGTTATACCAGATATAGGAGTGTTAATGCCTGGAAATTTTTACTAGAAAATTCATTTAAAGCAACTGTCTCATTGGTACTGCCCTTACAGCAAGAAATGGCCCTACCAATGTACTAGATATAATATCTAGTGGGGCTTGACTACAAGCCAAACTCCTTAGAAGTGTGTATTCCATTCTTGATTAGGAATAGACAAATGTTGGCATATAATTGAGAATCATAGACAGAAATACAGTTCTATCAAGCCTTGTTTTCTAGTACTATCTGATAATTCCCCATAGATATAATTTTAGTATCATGATTTGCTCCAACCCTGTGAGTCTGACAACAGGCTATCTAGTGGCCTTGTTTAATTGTGGAAAATGGTGATTATGGTGCAGGAAGACATATTATAGCTTTGGGATGTTATATTTCATAGAATTTTCCATAAATAGTCAATATAATTCTAGATTGAGTATCCTCAATAAAGATGGTGGGTCACCAGCCAAACATTCCAGCAGGCTTTATTGAGTCTGTGTGCAGGCTCTTTCTGTAGCTAGAGTTTTTCTGGTCCTGCCTGGCCCACAGTCAGGACAAATCCCTCTAACCTGCCAGTCCTGCAGCAGCTCAGACCCAATCAAGTAAACACACAGAGACTTTTATTGCTTACAAATTGTATGGCCATGGCAGGCTTCTTGCTAACTGTTCTTATAGCTTAAATTAATACATTTCCATAAATTTATACCTTGCCACATGGCTCATGGCTTACCCGTGTCTTCACATGCTGTTTGTCATGGCAGCGGCTGACAGTGTCTCCTCCCACCTTCCTGTTCTCTCAATTCTCCTCTCTGTTAGTCCCGCCTATACTTCCTGCCTGGCCACTGGCCAATCAGTGTTTTATTTATTGACCAATCAGAGGATTTGGCATACAGACCATCCCACAGCATCTTTCCCAACTGGACTTTGAGGCATAGTTTTGTAGGATTTGTCTTGTGGGTTGTATACTTTTTCCTTTCCTAAAGTTTCTTTGGTTAAGGCCTTCTGACATTTCCCCTCCTTTTGGAAAAATAAGCCAAACTTATGGGTTATCTTAGAAAGAAAATCAATTTCTAAGTCATTCTTTTATTAAATTTTTTGTCCATTCACTGTTCCTAGCAAGCCCCAGGCCAGGGTCTATTCCACTGAGGAACTCCATTCTCTTACAACCAGAAGATGCTGAATGTTTCTGGGTGTAATCAAGGAAGGTTAACTGTTTGTGGATATTGGCTCTTGATTGGTTTGTCTTAGGGTTTTAAGTTATGGTTTGTGAGCTATGATTGTTAATATTTGGCTCTCAGTATTATTGTGATAATCTAATAGCCAGTTCAGGGTAAAAGACTAAGAGAAGTGTTCCCTTAGGAGGGTCATGGCCTAGGAACAGTTAGCATAGCAGTGATGAACCCAGAACCTGGAGACCTCTCATGAAGAGGTAAAATAGTGAGCCTTGTCACTAGCTAGGTGGAAGTCTGTTTCTGTCATCATAGTGGCTACTTCCAGATTTGGCTGGATCATTAGGTAGGTGGAATTGTGCCTGGCAGGTTACTTTCAGTAGCTGAGATGGTTTGTTTCTGAGTTCTGTGATTTCTCTGCAGGTACAGGGAATTTTCTGGACAGTGGGAAAGGCTACAATGGACTGTGACCATGAACAGCCTTTGCTTGGGAATATTTGTCATATAGACCATGATACACACAAGTTTGGCACAGCTATCATAAATGGTTATTAATGTCTGTCATGAAGGCATGAATGGAGTAACCATAACATGGTACCTGCTGGCACAGGAGAATTTCATCCTTGTGAAGCTCCAGCATGGACTTATTCTATTCTTGATGTATGCATCAATAATTTGAGGGTAAGTTCCTCCCATAGTATCAGACATTTGTATTTTCTCTGTAATGGATAGTGTTTTGTGGATGTTTGAGTCAAGTATAAATACTGGATCTCATGAAGTGTGTTGGTTTATTCACTCAGAAGACCTCACTAGAACCCCAAGCAGGTAGACCAACAAATGAGGTAATCTCAGAGACTGTTGGGCAAGAAAGCTAGAAAGTAATAATCATGGCAGATACAATGAGGAATGCTGTCCCTAAATAGGACAGCCCAGTCATGTGATGTGACACTAGAAGAGTAGCCTGAGGTCATCCAATATCTCACAAGAATAGCTGGAGCATCTAGTACCTTGGGAGTAGTATTGAAATATCTATTATCTCAGGGGAGCTTGAATCAATTCAATGACAAGATTACTGTGGCAGCAACCACTCCTGAGTATCTTTCCCACCCATTTGTTACATGTTGTTAAATGTTTGCTTAGGTATCCTACAGACTAAGGAGAGCGACCTATGGATAGAGTAATTATTACCAGGAATGTGTCCTGTCTCTCAGTTATGACAGATGGATGATGGGCCAATGGACACATCTAAGGCAGAATCCTTGACCAGTGTCTCTTTGAAGTTTTGAAGAACATGTTGGCACTCAAAAATCCATTCAATCTTAGTGAATCCCTGACTTTTGGGTTTCCTTGGGAGACTGATAAAAGGGCATAGCCAGTTATGCACAATCAGGAATTTAAATTCTGTAATATTCTGTAACTATAAAGAATGCTTTCATCTTCTTGAATATATTGAGATTTTGGAACACCAAAAGAGACCATACTTCTCCTGGTTTTAATATTCTTTTTCCTTTTTTTTAAAAAGGGGGCTGAATTGGTGATTTGTCTTGGTATGATCGTGCTTTTTTCTATGACACATTGTAGCCTCTATCAGCTGGGAGACTAAAAAGGAATTATTTTTCTCAGGAAATATCTCTTTCAGTAGACCCACATAGGAGAAGATCATTTACACACTATATCAGGGTGGTCTCCAGGGGAGTGTATTGCATCATGACTTAAAAGAGAGCTACACAAAGTAAGTTGTGGATATTAAAAAAAAAAAAAAAGTCTTTCAGGAGAACAGACCAGATGACTTGCCCAGGTCTAGGGATGGAGTCTTCAAATGCAAATAGTCATTCAAATGCAAATGGTTATCTGAGTAGTGCCTGATAAAGCAAGGTATCTTCAAAATCTAAAACTGAGTAATTACATATCTAGGGAAATGTATAGAAGGTTTAAAGATTAGAAATGATTGAGTGGGGGCACTGCAACCTTAATTAGAGATTTATAGTCATTTCCATTTGTTAGGACTTTTCCTAACACTGAGGATTGGGTGTTATACAGACTGGAACATTTAATTAACAGCCCTTGTTTCTTAAACCTTT